TATTATCAGATTTAATTATTATTTATTATATATTATTATTATTTTGCAAATATTATTATTTTGCAAATTTAAATCAATTTGTTTTATATTAAGTTTGGCTAAAAATTATAATATTTCAATAAAAATATCATAATTATCAAACAAAATGTAAAAATTTACAATTACAAAAGTTACAATTAGAAATGACCGAACCATGTAAGGGTCCGTTAAATGAAAAATTTAATTTTTGTTCATAAGTGTGTAAAGAACGCTTCATTCACCGAAAAATATAACTGTATTGATAAGTACTTAAATGAAAACTTTATTCGGTAAGGAAAAAAAAAATTCGGAATTACATTTTCTTAAAAGAAATTCTGCATAACTAAACTTTTTTTTTTCTAATGCCCACCTGCGTTAGCATACGTCAAGCATAACTAAACTAAATCTTAAAATATTTCATTTATCAAATAACATGTATAAAAATAAAAATAAAATTTCCAAAAATTTTTAACTTATGTTTTTGATAGCTCTAAAATGTGTTTAAAGCTTATTCAGAGTGTAGACTAACATATTTATGCCATTCAGATCGTAGCACCACACTGAAACCACAAATTTATTTACCACTTTGGGAATTGACCGTTACGTGATAATGGTATGATGCCAGTATTATATTTCTCTTAAACCCTATAATGATAAACAGAGAATAATATAGTGAGCAAATATCTACGCCCCAATCTTTAACCTGATAGGAATATCAGTATATTACAATTTTTAAAAGATTTCAAGTAATATGGAAGTTGGTTATTTCAAATCATGTTTCTCACACAAATTTACATAAAACATTAAAACAAAATATGGTTTGACCCATATAGTTGGAATAAGTGCTGAAAAGACAATTATACATCTAGATGTTCTCACTTTAATCATCACTTAGTTAGGGAGATGGTATAATCATTTTAATTAAAATATTTGCATATTTAAACTACTTATAGGGCTTCTTGCATATTGAATTAATGCTGGGTGCCCGAAAAATGATCGACGATTTAAAAAATGAATTTTAAAAAAGGAAGAAGATTGAAATGCATGGTTTACAGTGCTATACTTAAGAAACTAGTTGCTTATACTCTAAAGTTTAAAAATTAGTTACAAAGATTAACAACAGATGGTGCTGCTAAGTAAAAAAACTATAAGACAATGGTTTTAAATTAACCATTATCTATAGTATAGTTACAACGTAGTTCATAAATCTGAAGACAAAATTATCACACCCTTTCATATATATTTCAGTTGCAATGATCTGATATATGGCAATAAGCATGATTCCATAGTTTTTATTCAGTAGCGCCATCTGTTGATCAACATTGAAACTAATTTTTAAATTTGGCGTTAGCGATTTATAATTGCTTAAGCAGAGCTCAATAAACGATTATTACTCTTTTATTTGGCTTTTCTTTGATTTATTTTTTAAATTGCCGGTCAGTTTTGAGACATCCAATAAGTCATTCTTCATTTAGGAGTTTGAAATACAACACTGTACGACAACAGATAGATATTTTAAATACATGATATGTATAAAATAATACATTATGTAAGCAATAAGGTTATGGTTATATATGTTTTAAGAATACTGCATATATAAACAATAAAACATGAAAAAAGTTTCATAATGATCACTTTTAGTGAAGTTAGCATGCAAATTATAAAAGTAAATATTTTTTTAAATTTTTAGATCTCAGAAAGCCTTTTTACTTTAAGGCTTGTTAATAACCTTCAAGATCTCACTTTGAAAAATTTCGTTATGTAAGCAAAATTATTTTACATCATACACGTATTCATAGCACCGATGATTAGCATAAATGAATTTCAAGCAATGATATTAACCCTCTGAGTGATCAATAACGGAATAATATAGTATATATATATATAATTTTTAATGAGTAGCTAAAAAAATGATAATAACCATTGCAATTTTCAGCATTTTTTTATAGATTTATCTTAAGTTACTAACAGAAGTGTGAAATTTTTTAAGCACTCTGTTTTATTTAAATATTCATGAGTAAACTTCGAAAAAATATGACCTGTATATGATTAGAAATGATACTTATTCTTATAAACATTTCTTGTTTTGGGACTCTTTAACCAATAACATCTTTTAAATTATTTGCTAGAAAATTTCTTTTTCGAAAGAAATTGAAGTGAATATAATGCATTCTGCCACGACAAATACTAAGATAATAGAATATGAGAATAATAGGCTCATTGTCCCAAATAAAATACTAAATAATATACATTTTTGGGGTTACAGATTGATATTAAAGAAAAGAATAGAAGAAACAGAACTGTTATCGAATCTAACGAATTAATTTTGAGGAAGGTGAGGTCAAAAAATTTGAAATCTGTTTGATTGACAAAGTGTACAGAAGAGTTAAAAGGATACTATTAGAAACACCTCCAAGTTTTACCAGGCGATCAAACTTTAAATTTTTTTTATCACGCCTTTTTTAATTTGTAAATCGAAAATTTTTGACAGCGTTTTTGTTTCGATTCCGTTTCAGATAATTTTTTATGATCCCTAGTATGTAAACTTTTTAAACTTATTTTTCACGAAGAATTTAATAACACAAATTAAAGGGGTTGACTAGGCATTTTCAATATTTCCTTAAATTATTAATGAAGGATTGGTTGGAGCTAAAAAAAATATAACTAAACGTCCATGTTTAGATAGTGCTTTAAATGAGGAAGATTTAAAAGCATTGATTATAGCAGAAAAACTAACTGCTGTAAGCATGTGAAATTATAAATGGAGCAGTTTCTAATATGGTATAGTCAAGAAGATTATGTTAGAAGAATTATAATGTGTGATTACTGCGATTACCCAGTAAACTCCAAAACTAAAGGAGAATGACTTGTTTAAAGAAATTTAGTAGCGAATAAAGGAATTCTATAGAGGAAGAGTACAGTTGCTTGAGAAAATTTAGTAACTCGCTTGAGAAAATTTAGTAATAAATAAAGGAATTCTATAGAGTAAGAGTCACTTGCCTGAGAAAAGTTAGTAACAAATAAAGAAATTTTATAGAAAAAGAGTACACTTGCTTCAGAAAATTTAGTAACAAATACAGGAATTATATATAAGAGTGTTTTGTAATAAAAGTTAGAAACAAATAAATGAATTTTATTGAAAAAAGGTGATTTGTTTGAAGAAATTTAGTAACAAATAAAGAAATTCTGTATAAGACGAATGATTTGTTAAAAGAAATTAAGTAAAAAATAAAGAAATTTTATAAAAGACGAATGATCTGTTAAAAGAAATTAAGTGACAAATAAAGAAATTTTCATAAAAGACGAATGATTTGTCAAAAGAAATTAAGTAACAAATAAAGGAATTCTATATAAGACGAATGATTTGTTAAAAGAAATTAATTAACAAATAAAGGAATTCTATATAAGACGAATGATTTGTAAAAAGAAATTAAGTAACAAATAAAGAAATTCTATATAAGACGAATGATTTGTTAAAAGAAATTAAGTAACAAATAAAGGAATTCTATGTAAGACGAATGATTTGTTAAAAGAAATTAAGTAGCATATAAAGAAATTCTATATAAGACGAATGATTTGTTAAAAGAAATTAAGTAACAAATAAATTCTATAGAGGAAGCGTGTTACAGGTGGAAGAATCTTTTTGGAGGAAGAGCGAATAGTTGAAATTTTGTTGCTAATATGGTACTCATAAATTAGGAATTAAGTTAAAATTTAAAGTTACGTCATCAATTACTAATTTTCTGCAGTTCGAAAATAAAACTTTTATTTGTATTCAGTTTTAATTGCTGCATTCAAAAGCCTTAAAATTTATTCGTTAATCACGTACTACGATTTTATAGCGTATCTCAATAAATTTAAATTTGTCTTCTAACATTTAAGGAAATAAACCACCTTTTGCTTTATGCTTACGGTAACAGTAACTTGTTTAGTTATTGAAATACTTACTTAAGTTATTGAAATACGTACGCACTTTTTTTTCTTGCAGTAACGAAAATATTATTGAAAATATTATTTCTAGTAGTAGAAGAATTTTTTTTTTAAAATTTTGAACAAAACAATTAATCATAAATTTCAAGGTCAGAGTCTAACAAAATAGATCGTTCAGAGGGTTGAATAATATATGTGAAAATATTTTAAAAAAGCTCAGAATTAAATATTATTAAACAAGTAAAGAATTGTAAAAATTGAAAGCGAAATTTGGGAGAAAATATTCTTCAAAATCAAAATCAGTTGCCTACGACACTATTATAGAATAAAATGCCACTGTTGAAATTCAGTTTAGAGAGAACATTTTTTTTTTCAATAAATTAAGTATTTTATCACTATAAATTGAAAATTTAATATTTGAGAATATGCTCTTAAATTAAAAGGAAAATTATATATATTTAAAAAAATATAGAAATATGCTTATTTTAAATATTTGAAATTTTTTTTTTGAAAATTAAATATAAAATGGACGTTAGAAATTTTGTTCAATGGGCAAATAAGTTCATGATAGAAATTTCTGACTAGAAGAGATGATTTTAAATTTTTATACAGTTGGAAAATCATGTAGCCCGCATTTGAACAAAAATTCAATATATTTAATTTTTATTTATTTTTTACTATGCTTTACAAGGAATATTACTTATATTTTTCTGCCATGCTTTATATAGCAAAATAACTTGAATTTTATAAATTTTTTTGCCATGTTTTTCATAGCAAGATTACTTAACTACGGCAAAAGTGTGGTTAATAACGAAAAAAAAAATTCTTTCAAGAAGAAGCTGAAAATCGTAAAGCCACTTTTTTTACTTATTCTAGCTACGTTATTGTTAATTTTGTGATTTTTCGAAGTGCTAATTTTTCCCAAAATATTCTTTCATTTCAAAAATATTTTTCGAAAAATAACTATAACACTTCCGCTAAGTATTGTTTTCTCTAAAAAATACTTAACTAAAAAATTTTAGAATCTTTAACTTATCAAATAAATTCGGAAATATTAACAATTTTCTGATAAAAAGAAACAACAAAATCAAATCGCTTAGAAGTCACCAGAAAAGTTGTTTTAAAGCAATTATTTATGTCTGCAGTAGCAGCTATATTCAACTGATTTTGATTTTAAAGTTTACATCTCACATATTTGAGCTGAAACGGCATTAAATACTGAAATGGAGTTACTGAAATCAAATGCAAACTGAAATTCATGATAGCTGATCAAAAGCATTTTCATCCAAGCTCTGCAACCAATTAAAAATCATCATATTTCTTTCATATTTTGACAGAGGTTTGCCTTTATCACGTTCAATGTCTTTCACTGTTAAGCTGAGTGTTTTATTAGCTCCATGGAACCCCACAGCCGAAATTTGCAATTCATGTCTAATAGAACGACCAAGTTCAGTAGAAATATGGAATTGTGGTAAAGGAATATTTGGGGCACCCGATGTAGCTAAATTGGACGAATCATCCCCTGGAACTCCACTAGTTGAAGAGGTTGGAACAGGAACTGCTATCGATGGCAGATCCAAACTAAGTTCACTACGGGTTAAACGCTCTAAAGCTTTGTAAGTGGACTCAAGACGCCTTCGAATATACATCTGGCGGACCTTTTTATTGATGGCACGGACGAAATCTATGGCCGTCATCTCAGGGTGTTCAGTGGCATAGCCTGCGAGGGTTTGAGGTGATGGAAGTTGAGAGGTTGTTGACATATCGCCAACTGCTACCCAGGTTGAACAAGAACGAGATGTATACTCCAGCCTTCCATAAGACATATCATAATGTTTCCAACTATTCAGAACCATTTCAGATACGGACGACCTTAAATTTTCTTTTTCACCTCCTATAACTACATTTTGATCTAAATCACTTGTACTAAAACTTCGCATCAAACCTAGCATGGAAGACAAAGCCCCACAATTGCGAATTACTTCGTTTTCTTCTTCATATAATACATCATCTGCTACTCCTCTTTTTGTTCCATACTGCTCTGAAGGTACCTGAAGAAGACTAGCATTGTTCCCACGAGTAAGTTTTGTTTTCCTTGCTACCCAATTACCCACACCACCATCCATAATAATTGGGCTCCGACGATCTTCTCCAGAATCAGCACTATCAGCAGATGAATGGTTCTTTTGCCGAAACATACTGCTACGCAATCGGCCTATTTCAGATCCAAGACTTGACAAAGACATGAGTGATAAATCTGTCGCAAAAGATTCGTGGCTTGGAGATCTTGGTATTCCAGAATTGGAAGAATTTGTCGGAGGAGGGGATGAAGATCCCAATGGAAGAATCGATGGTACAGATACTGGTGAATACGATACTGTTTCGTTATTATTATCTGACTTGACTTTACTCATGACGCGATTAACGAAACATAGTACTCATGCTGTATAACGTAAATAATAAAAGCTATTTTTTCACTAATGTTACATAACTTTGTAAATTTAATAATAAATTCTCAAGTCATTAGTTTTAGTTGCGAATAGGTAGGTAAAATTTTAAATTGGATCCTAAGACTACGGTTTCTAAAGTTGATGAAATATATTTCATTTTTTTCATAGTGTGTTCATGGCTGTCATCTCTTCAGTTGCAAAACTTCTGGCAATGAAACACTGCAAAATAGAAAAAAAGTACAAATTAGACTTTGAAGTTATTTTGCATTAACTAATTAATGAAAACAAATAAAAGGAAGGTTTACACAATAATAACATGGGAGAGCTTCACAAAGTGTTAGCAAATTTTAAATTTCACACTTTGCATATACAGGGTGTTCCGTAATAACCACCTTTAACATATATTTTTCCGGAATTATTTGATTGTCATTGACTAATTATCAACAATTTTTGGTAATTAATTATTTACTGCAATATGCGAATAAGGCTCAAACCCTTCATATGGCTACTTGTGATTGACACTTTAGGGCAAGGTTTCGTCATGCTCATGCTGACGTCATGCTCATGCTGCTGTGTTTATACTAGATGTCTCCAAAATGACGAACTGATTAGAAAAATAATTCTTTATCACTAACTCTGTAAACTAGTTATAAAGTTCGCCAAAAGATGTCGCTGCTGAGTGAGAAAAACTATTAAATAATGCTTTTAAAACAAACACTATTTGAACCAGCAAGACGGTACAACCATAGAGCGTAGAAAGTTGGCTTCTGTCTTCTTACTTTTTTATAACCGATTTTTCAAATTACTGGTTATTTTGGGACAATGTTATAGAAATTAAGTCTTAAATACTATGCATAGTATACCTCGAAAATAATATTCTGTGATAAGAAAAGCTTGTTAAACTCTAACATATAAATATTGAGAATGACAAGAACAAAGGATAAATTAAAATTATAAAACACTAGTTTGTAAATGGTACTGAACAGTATTCACGTTCTGCTACAGACAGTTTTTAAGTTTTGCTCTCAAATAAACTTGTTTTCAATGTGTTTAACCCCTCTTTTGGTGCAACTGATTTAAAAAATAATTGGCCATAGTTTAAAAATGTTCCTGTTGTTTTGTTTCTTAAATATTAGTTTGTGACTCGAATGTGCAATTTTTGCACAAAATTTTCTATAAGGAGAGATTTTAAACAATGTATATAAATTGCAGTTAATTCATAATCACCTGTATAATATTATGGGTTAAATAAAATAAAGATGTAAGAATATGAAAAATAGCTCAAATAACGTTATATAAAGAGACTTATGATCGTTTTGATACAATATCAAGTATTTTTTTTAGTGCCGAAATACAGAATACAGTTCATTTTTCAGTGTCGAAATACACAATTATGTTTCGACACTGAGAATTTCAACATTGAAAATTATTCATTTACTTTAATGATGTTCTTTTAGGTAGAAAAATATCGCCAAATTGGTAATTTTTAAAAAGTTTAATAAATATTTAAGCGCTTTGCATGTTTTAAGGTTTAAATAATTCTCATCAAGATAGTATGCATAGTTAAAAATTATAGCTTTGCCTCGCGTTTAAGATTGTAAAACAGCGGATTCTTTTATTTTCCTTCGAGAAAGAACTTAGAAAAAAATCTGTTATGAACTTCATCTAAGAAGAGAAATTAAAGTCACGGAGGGTCGTGGAATAGAGCGTTTGCCTCCCAATGAGGTGCCCAGGTTCGAATCCCACCCGTGGCTGGTTGGTACGAATTCTGCACCGGCTTTCTTCAGCCACAGTGCTGACGCAAAATATCCTCAGTGGTTGACGGATCATGGATTAGAGTCCCGTTGCCGTTTGGCAAACCATGGTAGGTTTTCCTCTCCCTGTAACAAAAATGCGGGTTAGTTCCCCCCAAAAGTCCTCCACGATGGCAAATTTCTCCCAATACTCTATTAAGAAGTTCTCTTGTCTTCTAGATTTGGTTCAAAATTACAAGGCTACAGAATTGAACATTGGTAATTGGAAACCCAAAATCGGGTGCGTAGTTACGATGGCTATAAAAAAAATGAGGTTGAGCCATTGTGGCTCAGAGAATAGAACTTTCGCCTTCCAATGAAGTGTCCCGGGTTTGAATCTCAGCTCTATCTATTCGATAAGAATTCCGCACCATGCTCACACCGACCACAGTACTGGCGTAAAATATACTCAATGGTAGACAGATCAAGGGTAAGAATCCCCTTACAGTGAAGCTGACAGTGGGAAGTTTTCGTGGATTTCCTCTCCATGTAACGCAAATACGGGTAAGTCCCATCAAAAAGTCCTCCACGAATGCTAGTTTGTCCCAATGCTTGATAAGGAATTCCCTTGTCTTCTCGGTTGGGCTCAAATTGCAAGGCTGAGTAGAAAATTGATAGTCGTGAGCTCAGAATTGGGTGGGCTGTTCAATGCCAGTTATAAAGTAAAAAGTAAAGAATTTAAATTAAAGGCTTTTTAAAAAGTTTAATAATTTTTTTTGAATATTGAAGTTATTGCCCCTTTTAATTGTCCAGACTATTCTTCTGTATAAGATAGTATATTTTAAAATTAAAACTTTCTTTAATTCCGTTCAAACTGCGGGTTTTCTATTTCTCTTTACAGAAGAGTTTTGTATACAGAATCCTCAACACACTGTTCTATAAGTTTCTTAATCCTAAAAAGAAGATTAGAAAAGAAACGCTACCTTAAAACTAAAAGAAAATGATGCCCTGCTGTTCTCAAAATAGATGGATTTTTTCCCTTTTTATGTAGGGTGGGTAATATGATAAAAAAATACTAATAAAAACAAGTATCCACTAAATTATAAAATCAATATTTCATCAGCAGTCAATCTAGTTCCCTAAATTTATTTAGGTGATTCTTTAACTCTGTTCAAATTGCTGGGTTTTCTATTTCCCTTTGCAAAAGAGTTCTGTTACAGAATCCTCAACAAATCTATAAGCTTCTTAAGCATAAAAAATAAATAAAGATAAAAGAAAAATTAAAACGCTACCTTAAAGCTGAAAGAAATTGATGCCCTGTTCTCAAAATAGATGGATTTTTTCCCTTTTTATGTATAGGGTGGGTAATAGGGTAAAAAAAGAAATAATAAAAATAAGTATCCACTACATTATAAAATCAATATTTCATCAACAGTCAATCTAGTTCCCTAAATTTATTTAAGTGTAAGATATTTTTCTAAGACCAAATATTGCACGAAAATAAGACTGAGTCTTGCTATTAAGAAGCAAAATGGAAGTAAATAAAATCGAAAAAAAAAAAGAAATACGTAATAATGTAAGCGATGAAACATAAGTTTCTTAAGCATAAAAAATAAAGATTAAAAAATAAATAAATAAAACGCTACCTTTAAACTATAAGAAAATGATGCCTTGTTCTCAAAATAGATGGATTTCCCCCCCCCCCTTTTAAGTGGGGTGGGTAGTAGGATAAAAAAAATAATAAAAATAAGTATCCACTACATTATAAAATCAATACTTCATCAACAGTCAACCTAGTTCCCTAAATTTATTTATGTGTAAAATATTTTTCTAAGACCAAATATTGCATGGAAATAAAATTGAGTTTAGCTATTAAGAAACAAAATGGGAGTAAATAAAATAGAAAAAAAAGGAAAAATAATGTTAGCGATGAAACATCAATTAATTAAAATTTGCTTGACATTCCCTTTAGGGTAGCTTATTGACATGTTTTTTTAATAGCTCTATTAATCAAGAAAGTTCAAAATTTTTGTTTAAAAGTATGACGTTTTGTTTGCCAAGCTTTCAAAAATTAGGATTTTTCTCATCAAGCGGGATTAATTTAGCTGCTTTAATTTATAAATTTATAATTAATTATGTTAAGTAACTCATCTCTTAATTTTTGGATGTAGAGATTAAGTCAGGTACTAAGTTGAATTAATTAGGCGTAAGCAACTAATACTCAAAAGAAATACTTTAGCAAAAATACTTAAAAAAAAAAAAAAAAACGGACTAGGTCAGTTGGTTATAAAATAATACTACAAAAGATAATTTGAAGCACAGATTATGCATTAGGATATTTAATGATATAAAATTTGTCACGGCCCATTTGAAGAGAGTATTTATAATAATTAAATTAGAGTTTTGTTATTTAGAGTAAGGATAATTTTTTTCTTAACTCTTCGGCGCTGAGTTTTTCTAAAACATATTTTTCGCATTTTTTTCCATTATTTTGTATTAATTAAGGTCAAAATAACTGAAAAGTAATATATTTAGCACTTTAATAATTTATGGTTACAAAATACAACCTTAGACACCGGTGTCTTTTTCTGCGTTAAAGGTAAAATCCTCTAAACACGGCTCATTTCCAAGCAGTATTTTTTTAAATTTGCACTTATTTGCAATTATTTAGATCTAAGCGTATTCTTCAAAACTCTTTCGCGAAGGGAAAAAAAACACTATTTTAGTTTTTTATATTCGAAGCAAAATTATATATGCCATCTTATTTAAAACAATTGTTAAGACATTATAACGTACTAATAAAAAAAATATTTTGTAACGAAATAATTAAAAAATGTAACTTTTTTTAAAAAGAAAACACCGACTTGATGAAATTTTTCCCTTTACATAAAAATCATTAAGTGTTTTTCGAATCTCTTTCGCAAAGTAAAATAAATAAATAAATAAATAATAAATAAATAAATAAATAAATAATAAATAAATAAATAAATAAATAAATAAATAAATAAATATATAATAAATAAATAAATAAATAGAATAGTGCCTTACACTTGAGGTGAAATTATAATTTCAAACTAATGATATCATCTTGCCCTAAAAAATTATCCAGGCCTTAGAACGGACATTTTGAAAGAATATTAAACTTTTTTTTCTGAAAACCTCAAATTGTGCGAGATTTTCCCCCTAAATGAAAATTATTAAAACCAATAAATATTTCTCAATTTTCACAAATTTTTATCATCAGAAACAATGCTGGATATCTTTTCAATTTTGAGAAGATTGAATTACAAACTCTTTTCATCTTTATGTTGACATTTTGCGCCATTTTTATGTCACTTTTTAAGTATTAAAAACTAAATCATAAAAGCTTTTCAATTTTAGAAAATAGTGTCATTTCTTCATATTGACATGCGCGCCATTTTCACAATTAACTTACAGAGCGCAGGGTTAAGATAAGCTGAACTTGACCTAACAGTGATGAATAAC